GTAGACAGGCAGTGCGTTGATGGCCTCAGTAGTGGCTCCTCTAGTTTGTGAGAAGTTTTCTCGAAATCCGAGAACAGAGATTAAGCAAGGTAGACAACAACATATGGTTGCACATAGTATGAATGGCATTGCATATCCAATGCAACTGAAAGTAAGGAACGCTATGCATAACCTGCAAGGCCCAACCAAACAAACAAAAAAAAACATGCATGTTAGAATTTCAGTTCTCCATTGGGACATAAGAGCGGATGAAGTCGAGGGCGTGTACCTGTACAGTTTAGGAGAATCAGAAGGAGATGAGTGACCTCCAAATATCCATACATTCCCCACAACAAACCACACAGCAAAGAAACAATCAATCGCCATCTTGAAGTGGTCCACCAGCCCGTTGAGCCTGCAAGTCATTAACAATTATCAATATTGATTCTTAAGTTACCAACCCAATTAATTGAAGCCAAAAATAATAATTAGACTTACCTTGTTCTTAAGGTTTCACCAACTTGATTGTTTCTAGGTGCTGCACTCATGTCGGTGCTATTTTCTTCATCTGCTGCTTGAGCAACTGAGACGGCTGTATATGGTGTGGACTCTGAAGGGTTATTATTGGCTTGAGAAGAGCTACTGAGACGTTGTGAAGAATCTTGTCCTGTACCTCGACTATAAGTGCGAAAACGCCAATAGAGAATAGGGAGAGTGGCTATACAGCCAGAAGTATATCCAATAACCCAAGTAAATAATGGCGCTTCGGGATGTTCATCTTTAGCGAGAACCATAACTACAATGGCTGCAACAATCTGAGCGACAGTGACAACTAACTCAACTGAGATCCAAAGGCCGGAATTCAATGGACTCCTAGTACTAGTAGTACGGCGAGCATTCCTAGAAGAAGTTGGTCTTTGCTGAGGAGGAGCTGGATGCGCTGTAAGAGTTGATGATGATACTGTCTCCTCTTCACCTTGATGAGGAGGAGTGAGCTCATCGATAGAAGAAGAGTCCTGGCCGTTGCTCATTGTAATGTCAACGATGTGGTCGCGGTTATTGTGGGTATGGTGGTCCATTAACAAAGGATGTTGATCAGTTAGGCTTGTTCGCGCAATGGAAGAAACATCCATCTAAATACAAAGTAGAAAACTGAAAAGCCAATCCAAAGTCAGCAGCTAGGCGTTCCTGATTGTCTTTGACATTTGTGTTCACCAAAGCCAATTCAACTCTAGCTAGCAAGAGCAATGTAATGCTAAACTATCATTCACCTGTTACATAGCACAGGAAACAACTTTAGGATTCAAACCAAAAATGGAGAAGAAATTCAGATAGCTTTTTAGGATCAATTATAAATGAAGCACAAGGTCTCTGCAAGAGTTAACAACCATTTGAGTGAGGAACCCTAAGTCAAAAACAAAAAATCCCAGTTCCAAGTAAAATTTTGACTCAATTCAAATTCTGATCCCAAAACTGGAATTCCAACAAATTCAACCGTAGCATAAGATGATACCCAAAAATTCGGAATTAGCTAAAAAGAAAACAGGAAGAAGAAGAAGAAGAAGAAGATACAATGGTGATGAAGCCTTTTTTACCAGAATTGAAAAAGCTGCGAATAAGCTATTCTTCTTAGTACTTCTTGTACTACTCTTCTTCTTTTTCATTCTTCAGAGACAAAAGAAAAAAAAAAAAAGAAATCGGCTGATTTTTTTTGTTTTCGTTTTTTGCTTTCGCAGTGAATCGGGAGATGACTGATTGATTTTTAAGTTTTTACTACTAAACTGATGATTCAAGATTTCGTCGTTATTTCTGAAATCCTAAACCGTTAGATCTCTGTGTAATATCTGATCGGACGGTCGTCGATGACTCCTTGTTTAGAGGGTTTATGACCTAATTAAGCACTTTCCTTCCAGACAAATAATCTCAGAGTCAGAGGTTTATTGAAAAAAGGCTATATTCCTAATGATTTCTTCAAAATTTAATCATATATTTTTTTTGTCATTCCAGATTTTAAAATTATACATTTATACTGTAATTGTTATTGATATATTCAGTTCTTAAGAAAGTTTTTTTTTTTTTTCCTAATTCATGTTAAGACAAAGAAATTAAATATAAAGTTTATTATAGAGTAGAGATATGGATCCTGTGGCTCTGACACTTTAATTATCTGAATTTTTGGAACATAATGGAATAGAAGAAGAATCTTAATCGAATTCTGGATTCCCTATAACATTTTATTTTGAGAATCATATGGAAATAATAACAAAAAAAAAAAACTGGGCTTTATTTATGGAATGATAACAAAATGGTCTAAAATCTGCCATGTAGCCCATATGGTGTATTCTTGACCCATCGCAGGAATTCTGCCTTAGTTTGGGCTTTATTGGATTAACATACCGATTTCGCAATTCTAAGTGTTGGACCGTTATATTATGTTATCTTACTTACACAAGTAAATTGTTCAAAGACATCGCTGCTGTTATAGATCCTAAAAACAATTTCGATTATCTGAGAGAAAATTCTAAATAAATCTAAATTATTAACAATCATCTATTAAAAAATAATCTCAATTACATTAAAATTCTAGCTACCAAATTGCATCATTTATGTACTTCTTATTATTATCTCACATGGGTCTAAGAATTACTATTACCGACTGTTTCATTCCATGCGCATTATAATTACTATTACCGAAAGAAAACAAATTTAAAAAAGAATGGCTGACCGGAATTACCGGTCACGGGTTTGCAATCGAAACCGGTAAATTCGTCACGTGTCGCCAGTAGGACCTATTTGGTCTAAGAATAGTGTCACGAACCATCAGCAAATCATTTATGATTTAATGTACCCCGATGAAGAAACAGAGTCACGTGACTTACGCGTGAGCCTGCGCTGCTGTAATTAATGTTCTTCTCTCCAAACTTTTTTGTTCTTTTTTTTTTTTTTTTTACCAGGAGGTTCGGAGCCGAAGCCCTTAATCTCCCCAGGATCCGGGGAAGACCAGGTGAAAGCCCCTGGCCAAATATAAATGACTAGCACTTTCGCGTTTGAGGGGAATCGATCCCTAATTGTTCCTTTTTTTCTTCTTCTTATTATGATTCGTGCTTTGGTTATTACAGATTTTGAAATGAGATTTCCAAATTGCATGTAGATAATAAAAGGACGGTTAGATATATGAAATTAATTACATACCGGACATTGAAAAACTGTTCAGTAAAAGTTTGAAATTTCTCACTAAAAAAGTGATAGTTATCTCTCTCTAACTTTTCTATCACAAATCATGAAACTTTTAATCTAAAAATGATTGATCTTCATAATTCATTTTAGACTGCTTTTCAGTTTTGATGTAGAAGTTTCAACATTTAGGTCTGTTAACACTCTTTTCATTGTTTACAATCCACACGCTGACACGCATATTAGTTGGGATTTCTTTTTTATTCTCGATGAAAAATCACAACACACCATCATAATACTCTCTTTGTCCCACAAGATCATAATACTCTGTCCCAAAATATAACATGATTTAGATAAAAATACAAAAATCAAAATATTATTTTTGGAAACTAAACATTATACTTTTATTAATTAGTTGAAAGCACAATTAACAACTCAGAAAAAGACTGATTGTTTTTTGGTATCAATATTAAGTTTCTAACATTTTTTCGTTTGTAACATAACGGTTATAAAGTAATATGAATAGCATAAAAGACTGAAAAGTACAAAGCGAAAGGAAATAAATTAACATAACAACAAACAGACACCAAGATGAAATAGAACCACCATAAAGAAGGACAAATATAGAAAGCAACATGAACTCAAAATTGTTGCGAGTATCTACGACCGAGACCAGTCTTCAAATCTCAAACCAGCAGTATCTACAACTTTTTTGATCACGAAAATACTCAAAAACTATGGTTTAGAAACCACATACCGGAAACACCGTTGATCAATCCTTCATTAACACTAACGGCTTAGAATTGCTCGTGAGAATCTAATGTAGTTGAATTGACATCAAAATCTAAAGAGTCAAAAGTATCAAATAATTATATAAAAATCTATAAAACATTTAGTAAAATGAAACAAAAAAAATTTCTAAAACATCTTATGAAATGGGATAGAAAGAATAATATGAGTAAAGGACGTACCGCCCCGTGAGTCAGCTGAGTCAAAGGTTATAAACACTACAGGGTATCGATGTTTCATTGACGGCTCTTGGAAAGACAGTGACAACTACTCGGGTTTAGGATGGTTCTGTACACTACAAGGTGAGGATGAACCAACAATGGGCGCTGCCAACCTCCGACGAAGTCTCACATGTCTACACACAGAAGTGGAAGCATTAGTTTGGGCCATGAGATGTATGATTGGCCAAGACAAACGCGAAGTAAGTTTCTATTCAGACTGCTCAGACCTGGTGAAGATGGTGTCTTCCCCGACGGAGTGGCCAGCTTTTTCTACCTATCTAGAGGCTATTCAGAGCGACAAGGATGAGTTTGATTATTTCTCTTTATCTTTGATTTCTCGACGTGCAAATTCAAAAGCGGATAATCTGGCACGAAATGTTCGTACCCAACCGCATCTAATTACCTATGTAAACAATATCCCCAAAATTGGCTTGTATAAGCTAATCTAATAAAGTTGTTGACAAAAAAAATAAAAATAATACTATGAGTAGTGTTGTTTTCAAATTGTTATCATTCTAGTAATAAATTAACAATTATATAAATGAAAATTTCAGACATAGAAAATAAAGTGAAAATACAAATAAAGCCGAGTAATATCATATTCCGAGAATCTTCTTTTGCTGGATTAAAGAATTGTTGTACTAAATTAGTGTGTAGTGTACGATGATGGATAATTAGGAATACATTTGTTAAACTATGATTTGTAGTGAAAACTAATATACATTTCATCTATATATACACATTACACATATATATTTAACGGTGAAACTTTTTTTGATGAAGAAAGAAAAACTTATTTGAAAAGATAATTCAAAGGAGTGTAAAGTGACAACAAAGTGTCGACAAAAGGAATACTATAGAAGATCTCTCTCGAAGAATATATGGAACTGAAATTGACAAACACAAACAAATATAAGGGATTAAAGTTTATTATATTTTTCAACGTTTATAAAGTAACATGAATGCGATTCAAAAAATATTTTCAACTATATTTTACAAGTGTATAATGCTAAGAATTTATTTTTTCTCGATTTCTGCATGCATGCTAGTCTATAATATTATCAAATTATAGTCTAATTCTTTTCTAATAGTAATTCGATGATTCTTTCTTCTCCTTAATCGAACCCATAACGTAGGAGCTGGACCAGATGAGCTAAAAATCAGGCTGATATCCGTACATATGCAATTACATCCACTAATGACAGTTTAGGAGATGCTAAGTGGCTATAACTATAAATGAGCCCACACCACACGAAGTAGAAGCTAATCACCAAACTATTCACTTGCTTTCGTGGAGATATAAAAACCGCCAGTTAGAGGAAAACGTGTCATTATAGGTAGGGTTCACTAGGTTTTTAGCTGACAAGTACAGATCGACTATAAATACAAAGTTGGAAACCTCGAGAGTCTCACATACTCAAGCCAAAAGTTAGTGCCATATATATTGTCTTATCACTTTCCGCACTTTTGTTTTTAACTAACTTTTATATATAGATTAAGATATTAATGTCATCGGAGGAATACGTTAGGGTTTGGCCCGATTCCGGTGATCTTGGAGGAATTGAGCTGACCCTAGCTTTGCCTGGCACTCCGACAAATGCATCGGACGGTCCAAAAAAGTGCCGAAACAAACGTAGATTCCTCGAGACCGTTGATTTAAAACTCGGGGAAGGACACGAGAATAAGTATTTCTCAAGCCTGATCACTAAGTACGTACGGCATATTAAATTTCTGTTATCGTTGCATGTATATGCATGTTTGATTGATCTTCTTTATTGTGGTTTTAGTGACCAGTTGGTTGGGTGGCCGCCGGTAACGACGGCGAGGAAAACAGTGACGACGACGGTGAGGCGGAAATACGTGAAAGTGGCGGTGGATGGTGCGGCTTATCTCAGAAAAGTCGATCTTGAGATGTACGATTGCTACGGGCAACTTTTCACCGCTCTAGAAAACATGTTTCAGGGTATAATAACAATATGTAAGTGATCGAGTGATATTGTAAGAGCAGGGAAAGATTTTGTTTAGATGATGGACTGACTAAGTGGAGGGTATTATGGTAAATTAACTTAAGAGTGGTTTGTGGATGGTGGTAGGTAAAGTGACGGAGTTGGAGAGGAAGGGAGAGTTTGTGGCGACTTACGAGGATAAGGACGGTGACTGGATGTTAGTCGGAGATGTCCCGTGGATGTGAGTTCCCGGAGTTAACCCTTTGTGTGGCTTTTTACGTACCTTTCCTTTTTTTTCTCAGCTTAGTACTCTTTCCTTTTTAAATCAAAACTAAAATTACTGTATTATTTTTTGTGAATGAAACTAAATTTCCTTGGGATTTTGATTATATTGTGTAGGATGTTTGTGGAATCGTGCAAACGTATGAGGTTGATGAAAATAGGAGATGCTATTGGATTATAGGTCTCTCCTTTCCAGACCGTAAACGCATCGGATCTTCGAAAGGCTATAAGATTAATGATCACAAATGCATAAAATATTGTCAGAGATGTATACATGCATATGCATTTTTGAATTGCAATATGCTAAATATTTAATTTCAAACCTTTTGTGGCCGTCGATTTTGTATGTAATGTCCTATTGTTTAAATGACTTTTAATAACCACTATACAAACATAAGTGTAATAATCACAACCACCTTTTAACATCAGTGCCGACCACCACGATCCAAACATGACGACATCGACAAGACGGACAAGATTTTCTTGTTTCATTAAATCTCAAACAAATACAACTGACCACAATTACATATAATAATAATAAAGAAAAAGTATATATATGTGAAAGTATAGTGTAACAAATAGCATGTCAAAAGATACAAGGAAGAAGAACGTGTGACGTAATGGTACTCTTTTACATACAACGAGAAACACTATGAAGGCAATGGAGACAGCATCTCATTAGTTTGCGAGTATCGGGTTCCTTTCTTCATCGATATCTATCGCAAGGACGCGGTCTGGGTCCGAGCCGCTTGGTCCTTCCGCGTAAAGAGTTGGAAGATAGGCCTTGTAGGCCGGCAAATACCGCGACACAAAGTCATTCACCTAAAAACAGAGATTTTAACATTCAAAAACAACAATGATTGTGTCTATAACCAGAAGACAACTGATTAGTCAAAACGTATCAATACCTCCTCATCCGACATCCCAGCTTTACCAGCCTGCCTCATGGCGATTTCCGCCTGTTCAATCCAAAAAAACAAAACCATGTTTGTATAGAAACGCAGCGAAAACCTTTTAGTTTGTTATGAGATATACAAACCTGAAGACGCCACCGGTATACATAACTTGGGTCCTGGATTTTGATGACGACCCAAGCATCAATGTACTTGTCCCATGCGTCATAATAGGCTTCAAGGTTCTTGTTCACAATCTCCAGCTGTAGAAAGAGGATCAGACTTATTCATTATAAGATGTTATATCGGTTGTGTATTGCGACTCAATGGTTTTAAGGGAGTTGAGATAACCTGCGGATCAACTGCTTTAACAACGTCAGTTGGAAGAGGCTTAAAACCAAGCATCCATCCCTCAAAGAGAATAACCTAGAGAAATCGGACCATTTTTGTTAATGGAATTATATCCTTTTAACTTTGAACCAAAACACATAAAAGATAGAAATACCGTTAGAGGTCCTTCAACTTCAGGCCATGTTGATGAATCGGCTCTGTCACCTCTCCCACTATAGGCAGACTGCAGCCAAATAAAAATATATCGAGGAGTTAAGAACAGGTTCCTCTGTTTTCGTTCTAAAGTGATGAAGCAGAGAAGATAGTATCAAGCTGTGACTCACCTTGTCGTACCTAGGTACCTTCATCTTTATACCTGTTAATGACCAAAAGACTTACACGGTAAATAAGAATATAGCAACCTAAGAATAAAACTTTATTGATGAAGCAAACCTTCTTTGGTCAGTTTAGTCAGGGCTTCTAGTGTCTCAACAGAGAGTTGCAGATCATGGCTTCCTGAATTTCCACGATACTGGATACAAACAAGAAACCATGACGATAAATTCAAACTAAAGAAAAGATAGACAAAAGAAAAAGGTTGAGAATTTACCTCTAGAAGTGCATTTCCAGGATTCTTTTCTCTCAATTCAGCCTGAGAAAAAAAAGGGAAGCTAAGAAGTGGAGACGAGAGAATGTCCAGTCAACAGAGGTTACAAGTATAATCTTAAAATACATCTTACCTGACCTTGTGCAGTCAAGTAAAAATCGTCTATTGATATCGTCGCCGACTTCCTGAGATATTGCTTTGTTAGTATAAGAATCACAAGAGTTACATGAGATAAGGTGCAGCAGATCAATGTACATTTTTGTTGTTTTGAAAAGATAGTCAAGTGCAAACACAAGTGTAGTCTTGCCACATCCTTGAGGAGCGCTAAATCCAATCTGCATCGTCAAAACACATCAATCAGATTGATCCACCCATCATCTCCAATATTCTAAGAAAAGAAACAATTTAGTACCACTAATGGAGGTACATCATCTCCATCTTTAAACTTGGAATTATGCAAAGCAATCTGATCTTCGCACCAAATAAATACGGGTATATAGTAGTGGTATAGCCTAGCTTTCTGAGGAATCGTGAGCTTAAGCTCATTAAGCTGAAACAGTCTGCAGAGTTGTGAGCCGTATAATAACCATTTGTCAATAGACTGGCCAACACTTTGAGGAGTGATACCAATCTTGTCTACGAGAGGACCCGAGCAAATGAATTCAAAAAGATCTGACACTGAAGAGACATCCACTGTTTTTGTTGTTGGTAACGCCGAGCATCGCTTGGACGTCCCATTAGTTGTAGCATAATCATGAACCATTGAATTGTCCTGAATCCAGGAGCAGCCACACCCTACACGTAATTAACAAAAAAAAAAAAAAAGGTCACAATCTCAAAACCTGAAGTTGCAGAGCCAGTTCTGAATTCGGTTTCTGCAGTTACTAAAAATCAATAGTTTTATTACATTAAATCCAAACCACAACGCAAATGAAACAATCAAACCATGAACAACAACAAAAGCTCCAACTGAAAAACTCTAGTTTATAATCCTAGAATCGACAAAGAACAATAAAACGAAAACAAAATAATACAAGATAATCCTCAAACAAAAGAATGGATTCCACAAGGAGTGCTGATCAAAACAATCAGAGAACGTCGAGAAGAGTAAATAACACAATCTCATGCTGAAATTCTCAAGCAATTTGCAAACGATTTGTTTCCATCTGATACTCCAAATAGGCAAACAATTCACTAAATTCAATAGAGCAACATGACCAAAAGAACAAACTTGAACCCAGCAAAATTACAAGGAGGCCAGGAAAATAAAAGTGTAATATTGGAGGCGTTTACCAGCGAAAGAGAAATGGGTTCGAATTGGAGAAAGCTTGGAGGAAGAAGAAGAAGAAGGGTTAACGACATGGTCGTTAAATTTGGAGGAAGAAGAAGAAAAAGAACGTCTTTTGAAATTAAAAGAATTGCAAATAGGATTAGAAGAGTGACACGGAATCGGATAATCTCTGAGATTAATCCGATTATTATAATGCTGAAGAGCCGATGATATCAAACTACTCCAAGACATTGCGACCGCCATTCTCGACCCCTTTTTTCTCTCTCTCTCTCTCTCTCAAGCAGCAGAGAGACACATCAGCAGCGAAGAAGAAGTAGAACAAATTGATAATTTTTTATTATTATTTTCCTCAAAACGAAAAAACAATTCTTGCCACATAATATGTGAGTCACATTTCTCCCTTGGATAATGTGTAAAAAATGCTCTGTCTCTCTGTCAATTTGTAGTTTTTTTTAAGAGATAAAATATTCGAAGCAGACCAGAAATTGCCTGAATAAACAGGAAAAAATGTACATTCCACTTGCAAACTCGTGTTACCGACCGACCAGAACAAATATCAGGTATGGAAGGACCAAACCAGTCTAAAACTAAACCGGACTTAACCGAACCCTAAGTAATCCGGTTACTTGGTAATGATCAGACCGTGGGAAGACACTCTGTTTTATTTGACAGACAGATGAATGTGGACCATCAGAAAATGTTACTACAGATTGTGTGTTATATCGGTTAGGAGATGAATAGCTTCTCCGGTAGCTCTCCAGAACTGAACACCGCCACGGATTTGAACTGTAAATTGCCAAAAAAAAAAACACATAACTGTTAAACAGAACCGAACCGAAGCAAACCAGATTTCTTCTTTTGGTTTAAGAAAACCAAACTAAGATTTAACAGTTTTTTAATACCTTGTCCTGTCTATACTTCATGCGTATAGAGTTCAAGGGACATCCTTTGGTGTTAAGCTGAAGATCTTGCAAAGCGTGGACAGATGCTTTGAGATCGGAGGCTTTGTACGTTGTGTAATGCTCAAGAGTTGGATTCTGTTCACAAAAATATAAAATAAAATAAACAAGTGTGATATTCAAGATTCGCTGTGTGTCTTAATAATGAAGAAGAGAGTTGGTCAATTACAGACCCAAGGGTGGCTTGATTGGTTCAATGTCCACTTGGCAAGAAAAACAGCCGAAGCAGCGATGACCGAAGGCAGGAACTTCAAGAAAGGGTAGTCCATTAACGTCAATTCCGTTAGGTAATTCGCCAGGAACTCCATTTCCAGACTTGGATTCTGCAGATCCATCAATCAAAAAAGTTTCAATCTTTCTGCTATAATGTTTTATGAGCAATAGATATATCTAATCTGCTAAAAGAAAGGCACATTACCGGGAAAGAAACTTGAGCTGCTCGAAGAAATCTCCTACAAAGATGAATGTATACTCTGAATCACCAAAGACTGAAAAAAAAAGCAACAACACATGATGAAGCATCTGCACTGTCCGGTGAGATTACCTGAGGAATGTTTTTGAAGTGGGGGTGTATATTTGAAAGCTAAAATGCTTGACTACTTGGCTCTCCATTTCCAGGACCTGATCTCTTGTATAAGTGTTATCCGTGATGAAGCAGAACTCCTCAATGCGTGGCGCATTGATTTCCTCATATTTCCTGCAACAAACTCTTTTAGATCTTGTGTTCAGACCAGAGCATTAATTTGATTTTTTAGGTGGATGAGAAACTTACGAAGCAATGAGCATACAAGTGATGCCAAGCAATTGAAGTCTCTGTCTTTCCACGTAGTTTCCATGGAGAAACCAGTCTATGAGATACACTGTGAGGTAGAGAGTGTCAGGTACAAGTGTGTATTCCTCTGAGACCTGAAATGTTGAGTTGTGAGAAGTTAGGCAAAAAGACTTCAAAAGTAAGCAACAAACAAACTGGAGGTAGAACTAACCTCTACAAGCCAATCAACAAGAATTCCCCGCATTGTCTCAGTCACATCTCTTTGTGTTCTCTCCATAAAATCAGGAAATGGTCTGCGATTGAGCTGCTAAGTAGACAAGTCGTAAGGATTCAGATGCCTCAAATGCCTAATAGTAAGATATCGAAATCTAAGGGATTATTACCTCAGCAACACGCAGGTTGTAGTAGATATCAGGTGCATAAAGGCTACAGAGCAGAGGGTCTTTGTCATCTGAATCAATGTCAACGAATTTCGGGCTACTTGCCACACTGGAACTTGCTCCGACACCACTCTTTTCAACTGTAAACCATTTGCATGAAGGGAAAAAAGCATCAGAAATGTTATAAATCACTCACTCACGCTTCAGTAACTGATCATTTATAAAATTCACCTCTCCCAAGGGGTCTTGGAGGCAATCTGGAACTTGGCTTTGCGATAAAGCTATAAGATGCTTCGTTTGTGCCTAAGCTTGTATCTGTACAACCAGACGAGCTTCCTCCTAGCTTTGCATCTGTAACTTGTGAAGTAGCCGAAGAAGATGCCACCTTGGAAGAACTCGGTCGTCCCTTCTTTATCAGCTTGATATTCTCCACCTAAGTTTAAAGAAGAACCAACAATTGTGAGCAAAAACATACTTCTTGTCATATAAACTAGCAATTTTAACATGCAGCATTGTGTAGTTAACAACCGCAACACTGAAGCAATTTGTGTAAGAATTCTCGCAGGTAACATTAGTGATATCGTTAAGAACAGCTCGCTTCTTAATCTTAGGTGCATTAGCTTTCTTCTCATCCAAGGCTGTTCTTTTACTCTTTGCTCTAAGAACACGTCCCTGGTTCTGTGTTGTAGCAGCCACTTGAGAAGATGTTATCAGCTTAGAAGAAGCACGCAGAGCAGAGGCAAGAGCACGAGTTACAGGGCGACCATGGATTGGTATAGTGTTTCCAGAAACAGCATTCTCCTTCCCCATTATTGAAATCCTTTGAAACGATCCAACAACCCTTTTTGACGTTTGGGCCTTAGCTCCACATTACCTCTCGATCTGTGAAAGTGAAGTCAAAATAACTCGAAGATCAATGAAACAAAACAGAGAGATCTATATTTATCTATGCAGAGACCAATGCATATAAGATGTTCGGAGAAATTGTTTAGCCCAAAAAAGGAAAATTATTGTCCTAAACGAGGAAAATTATTATCTGATCAATCATGAGTCGACAAAGAATTGCAACACATACTTGTTTTAGTTGGTCGAAGTAAGTTCCAAAGTGTCAAACGCAAGTCAGATTCAAGTTAAAAGAACAAGTATTTGTGAATTACTATTACTTAAATCGAAAACTGTAATGCAGAAAAACCCTCGACCCTTGAAAAAGAAAAAGTCGCAGCAGTTTTATAGCAAAGACGGAGCGACTATGCGCAGAATTTGGATAAAATTAAATTTGAAGAAAAAAAAATCAGAGAAATTAGTAAAGTTTCTCAATTTCTCTCATGGGGTTTATATAAAATGTTTGTTTATCCTAAAAGAAATCGGAACAAAAAAAGGAACCACTACATCAAACTTCGTCTGAGGAAAACGAAAAGACCCATAGTTTAAAGATGCAAGATCTCCAAAAAAAAAAAAACCTATCGATCCGTTCGTAAAAAAAAAAAGTAATCAAGTCAGATTTTCTTTAATCCAAGAAAATCCGAGTGAACCAAAAAAAGCTTCAAAACCAAGAGAAAGTTTCAAGAAACCCTCCCAAAGAACCGCCTCAAAAATGCAGGGTTGCCGTAAAAATAATAACAACACATTTCAAAAGCAAAAAAAAAAAATTCATGGAGAAGATGATGGAGATATAAACTTACTACGCTCCAGAAATTTCTTCAAGAAGATGAAGAAAAAACAAGTTCTTTTTTTTTAATTTCTTTTATTAAGATGGGGAAAAGAGCTATTCGAACAAAAAAGATGGGAGCTTGGGCAGATCGAGAGAGTAAATGGTTTTAGTCAATTCGCTTTTATGCAAAGGGACTGTCTGTCTCTCAGAGTGAGCGGGATAGAGAATGGTTTAAAGATATTAGTATTATATTCATTTCATTTTTTTATAAATAGAAACTTTTTTATTACTCGTATTAAGAAAGAAGTGTTTGTTTATGTGCTTCTAACGAAACTCATTGACTGTTTGACCATGAAACAAGGGCAAAAGAAAGAGCTAATAATATACTACTAGTTTAGTTTATTTGGGATTTTTTTGGTAAGTAATTTGTGGTTAATTTTTACAATTTGATATGTCATTGAACAGAGATTTTTCTTTAGATTTTGGTAACTAATCATTTACCTTATTTCACCTTAATCACCTATTGCTATTTTGGGTTCTGTGTCATTTTCTTTTCTGGTACCATTAACCTGTTGTAATTAATGAGGATTTATGATGCAGATTTTGTTTTTTTTTTTTTTCTCTGTTCGAATGCCTTTTTATTTACTTTTGGTATTAAAGTAAAAGAACGATAGAGGAGGAATATAGTTACGTTTTCCAAGAAATGTATCATAATTAATTTACTTACACCGTTCAAATGCGCTGTTATTACTCTTTTAAAAAATGCTGTGTTACTAAACAGCGTGGGCTATTCATCCAAAGGTAAATAAAAGTGATTAAACTACATAACTCTGTTCAAATTTTGAAGATCTGAAGAAAGATTCCACCACTTATTTTTTAATGGTAAAGTTGTAAACTTTTTTTGAAAGATAAAACCAACTAGTAGTAAAAAACAAAGACCAAATGCACGTTTACCCCAGAATCACTCTTCTTATTTTAGATTTACGTTTCTATGTTTCTTAAAGCCTCTATTTGGACACCACGTGCTAAGTAAATTCTACACCTATATCCTTTCAAATTTTTAAACATTTTCGTAGAAACTTAAAGAATCCGTTTTTATTTCCATTGGATTTGCTCCGTTTTAAAATCATACTTAAGACGCTCCCGTGGTCTTTGTATACTACTATTGAGTAAAAAGATAACATGCATTATGTGATACTAACACTTTCTTTATTTCATGTAAAACAAAACTTATGTATAATTTTCTCATCGGTTACTTTGACCAAATCTACATGAAATTAAACTTGTTCATTTGGGGAGAGATTTTTCCGCGATTAGACGTTATACAATACTCTTTTTAAATAATAGTAGGAGTTATAAAAACTGTAATAGATCTCAATGTCCTTGGCATTATTAGTTTAGAACAAAAACAAAATAATTATAATACTTGTTACTTTTGATGCGTAGATCCGCAGGATCCACTTAGAAAAATAAAAGATACTTAGGACGTGAACAATTAATTAAAGTGGTGGAATCTGCCATTTCAGGTCTTGTTATGTTCACGACCTTGATAATCTTGTATCAGAAGTATTTTAGTTTTTAACAAAAACAAAAAGAAAAGCTCGAAGACTATCAGATTTTAAATGAAAATTGTTGTTTCATATGAAAATGTTAATTATAAAAAGTTAAAGTTCAGTGTATGTTTTTGGTATTGAAGTGAAGCGGCAAAAAAGTCAGATGATTAAGTCAAAACATTCATATGAAACTTTGGTGTTAAATGATATAATCGAAGAAAGAATACAGACAAGCAATAGTGTTGTTGGGATATTTATTTATAGGATATACAAGTATACACAACACGGGATAAGTAATTCAAAAGCTACAGTGAGGAGCTAGAAGCAATAGTCTTACTTACCACATGGGAGTTACATAATCAAAGCTCTTGGATTTTCAAATTTAAGAGATAATATATCTTATTGTATTTGTATGGATCAATCAACTATACATACATTCTTTTTTTATTTTTTTTTACTTTTGGTTTTATTTAGAAGACTAATGCGTTAAAGCTGTTATAGTGTGAGAAGGACGTAACGAGAGGTCTTCGTGGACCTAATAATAACGTTTTACGGTTTTATCCAAAGACCAAAAAGCTGGATCTACTACGATTCGAACCAATACGCATAAAGATAAAAATTAAATTAAAAGAAGAAAAAAAACAACAGATCTATAATCTTTAGAGACATTAAAATCATGTCATGTTTGGTTGGTCCATATTTCAATTTTTGAACACTCCCAACTTTCCCTCCACTCCCTTTAGGTTACCACAAGACCCAATCTATCTAAACCCTAAACCACTAAACGCTAAATAATTTTATTGCATGTTTGAGTAATATGATCCATGAATTTGCTTCTTTTGTAACAACAACAAAATTGTGTCGTGGAATATATGTCCGTGCCAAAATATGAATTGATCGACAAAAAATGGCTAAATAAAAAGAAAGGGTTGGATTACCAAATATATAGAAACATTAAGGATCTTGTATGTGATTATTAGGGAAATGTAACGCAATCAATGAATAATTCTACAACACGTTGAAACGTTACGTCTGATTCATTTTCTCAGGCAAAACACACCCGAAAAAGGTCTCTCTAAGAGCATGGGTAGTGGGGCAAGCAGGTGGGTGTGAGTCTTGGGGTGTAAGTATTAAAAAAACAAAAAAAATTTCTCTCTCTTCACACCCGGGTGTAAGTTTACACTCGGGTGTAACACTTTTTCTCTCTATCTCTCTCTTTTTTTCTCTTTCTCTTTTCTCTTTTGCTTTAAATTATAATACTAAAAAAAATACTTATACCCACACAAACACATTTGCCACTGTTAATGGTCTTAGTTTGGGATGTTTTTACCTCTCTCTTTTTTTTTTTCTTTTTTTTTTTCTGTTCTGCGATTGAAATCAGAATCTGTAGAGAACAGAAGTAATGGATTTTTAAAGCTCTGCTTGATATTTTTTATGCGTCGAGTCTGGAAAAAAGGCAAAAGCAGCCAAATTGGATCTAAGTCGATGAGAACCATGGGCAGTAGTAAACCTTTTACAAGGGTGTGAGTAATAAAAAATATGAAAATAAGAGAATAGTTGTGTTGGAGTCGGAAGTCGAGTGTAAACTTACACTCAGATGTAAGCCACACGTGTCTTCCTGTGAGTGGTCTCGATTTTTTCCTTCTGTTCTATGAGAGAGAGAGAGACGAAGGGAGACGAAGGAGACGATGACGAGCAAAGACGAATTTTCCCGAGATCGAGCTGCGATCCGATGCGCAAGAGCTACGATGCTCCTCTATTCATTGGCGTCATCCCGCACAACCGACACCGCCGGCGAGGTTAGATCCTTCTTCTTTCCTTCTTTCGATTGGAATCGATTTTGCTACAATTCGATCTGTAACTCCGAAATTGCCATGCGAAATCTCATCTCTGATGTTTGTTTGGAAGCAGAAGGAATGACAGACGCAAAGAGAAATAGAGGATCTGAAGAGAAAGCTTGCCATGGGGAAGAAAAAGATGAATCAGATTATTTTATTAATAAAATCCCATTAACACATACCCATCCACTTGCCCCACTGCTGATGCTCTAAGTCAAAACAAAGGAAAAGCTTACTCCTTTTATTATTATTATTATTATATTGATTAGTTTTGTTACCTATTATTTTATTTTATTTATGGCGTAAAGTAAAGAAACAATTTTTGTTTTTCTTTTATCTTATAGATTACACTTAAAAAAAACAAGAAAAAAAAGATAGATTACAAAAAAATAATAATTGGATTGTATACTTTATATCTTAGAAATTTGAAAAATATACTATAATTTTGAGAAATTTGAGATGTACCCTTATTATTATTCCAAAATGACATTTTTGTCTTTAATTAATAATTAAAAATAGAAAATAAAAAATAAAATAATATGATTAATTAACTTTTACAAATATTGATTAAAATTCAAAATTAATCTGCTTATAGTCAAACCAAAAAAAAATATGCTCGAAAATATATTTATTTTATGGATATATTAGATAAAGATGAAACTAAAACTAATAATTATGATAAAAATTATAATTTTTATACATAATAAAAAGGGAAATTGTTAAAAATAGCCCTTTTAGTGTGCCCTTTTTCAAAAATGCCCCTTTAAGATGTCCATTTTTAAAAATGCCCCTTTTTAAATATGAAATTTTTATAAAGTTTTATTAGGTTTATAAGGTACTTATGGATTGTAACTACTACTTGAAGACTCGATCCAAGTATTTATAAGGTTTTATAAGGTGTTTTTAAAGGTTTTACAAGTTATTTTAAAGGATATTTAAGGTTTTTCAAAGGTTTTACAAGATATTTTAAAGGTTTTTAAAATGCATTTATAAGGTATTTATAAAGTATTTATAAGATTTTAGATACATAGAAATGTAGTTTGTGTATATTTTAATAATATTACATACATATTTGGGTAAGTCTTATATTTTTAAGAGCATTTTTATAAGGTTTAAAAAAAGAGGTATTTTTGAAAAGTGACATTGAAAAAGTGACATTTCTGCAAAAGCCCCTAAAAAAAAATATCTAGATTTTGGGTTGGTTTAGTAAATATTTTGGAAAATGATTAGTTTAATATTAATTACGAATTTTAATTGTATATAATTCAAAAGTATGTTTTTAGTTTTTTTTTCATAATCATATTTTCCACATATATATACATATATTTGTTCTAAATTTTCTAAAATAAATTATTAATTTAAATATTAGAACTAAAAATAATTATTTGATTTTTTAAAAAAAAAATCAACAGTTCAAAAAAGTCGACAATGTAAAAAATCAATTACCTAAAATATCAGTCGGCTATTTTAAAATAAATCATTAGAGAAGAAAATTAAGTAAAAAAAAATACAAATCAACCGTTCAAAAAATCAACTTTATGAATAAGTCAATGTAGAATGAAATAAGTCAACAGTAAATAATCGACTATGTAAAATATCAATCAATAAAAATATAAGTCTACTGTTTTAAAATAAATCAAAAGAAAGTAAATTAGTCGAGGAAAACAAAATATAAGTCGACAGTTCAAAAAATCAACTCTATTAATAAATTAATGTAGAATAGATTAAGTCTACCATGAAAAAATATATCAACAACAAAAATTATATATCGATAACAAAAAAGTAAGTCAATAGTTAAAAAATCGACTATGTTATAAATCAACCAGTCAAAATATAAGTCGACAAAAACAAAAATTAAATCAATAGAAGTAGAAAATAAGTCAATAGTTAAAAAAATCAACTTTATTAATAAATCAACCCCAAATAAATAAATCTAACAAAAAATTATTGGAAAATGTTATTTTAGTCATAACTTATATATTTTTTAATTATTTACTTTTAGTTAAATTATAAATTTAATTAATATTTTCAACAATAATATTTTCTGTTTTATCTATTCAAAATTTTTAGATAGTGATTACTCCAAATATTGTAAATAAGTTTTTGATTTTTATTATTAATTAATAAATTACGAATTTTAGTTAGTAATTAAAAATTTGTATTATTTTTAACTAATTTATTTAAATAAATAAAAAAAGTATTATGGTAAATTTCAATATAAAAATAGTAGTTTTCAAATTTTTTATATAATTTAGTATATTTATAAAAATCTGCTAAAAAACAAGGGTTGGTGAAGAAGAGGAGAAAAGAACAGGCGTGCTTAAGAAATAACGCTCATATATGTTTTAGGTTTCTAGTCAACGATCCCTTTTGCATTAGGTTTAATTGGATCACACAATTAACTCTGAATTCTTGCATACAGGTGTGTATATATCAAAGAATTCGACCCTAATTGCAAAATCTCGATCGAAATGGGTTCGTTCGGGATGCTTTCGAGGAGAACCTTGGGCACCGATATGCCCGTCATGGCTCAGGTCTCCACTTCCACCATTTTGATTTTGATTTTGATTTTGATTTGATTGTTGTTTGTCTTTTGTTTTACTAGTATTTCTTTAGTGAAAAATTGTTGGGTTTTGCGCGCAGATTCGGAGTTTAATGGCGGAATTGACGAACCCCATGTCTCTCGCCCAGGTTTGCCCTCTCTAGAAATGTGTGTTTGGTTCACAAAAAAAAAAGACTTGGGATTTCGTGAGCGCTATACTTTGTTCTTTTGCTCATGGAAACAAAGACAATAATCATGTGATTTGCAGGGAGTGGTGCATTGGCAGCCTCCTCAAAAGGCCTTAGCCAAGGTCAAGGACCTTGTTTGGGATCCTATGGTTAGTAATTATGGCCCCGATGAAGGTCTTCCCGAGTTAAGACATGCTCTTCTCAATAAGGTAATCGCCCAAGACTGAATCGTTTTATTCTTTTTATCCAGTACCGTCTCTGAGTTTGTTTCTTTTTGATTCCTCGTGTTTCTTCTGAAGCTGCGTGAAGAAAACAAGCTTACCCAATCACAAGTGATGGTTACTGCAGGTGCCAATCAGGTTATAACCTCTCTTTGTTTGATACCACTGCGTTGCAACTTGCAAGGCTCTTCCTTTTGTTTCTTCTAGTCTCATACTCTGTTTTTTGTTATCTACTGCAGGCGTTTGTTAACCTTGTTATCACATTATGTGATGCTGGTGATTCTGTTGTCATGTTTGAGCCATACTACTTCAACTCCTACATGGCCTTCCAGATGACAGGAGTCACCAACATAATTGTTGGTCCTGGCCAGTCAGACACTCTCTATCCTGACGCAGGTACCTCCTTGATTCTCTATCACATTTTCATGACTTATAATAATAGCTTTAAGTTGTGACCCGTAAATCTTTTTGGTTCCAGACTGGTTAGAGAGGACACTCTCTGAGTCTAAACCAACCCCAAAAGTTGTAACTGTTGTGAATCCTGGTAACCCAAGCGGCACCTATGTCCCTGAACCGCTTTTTAAGAGGATTTCACAAATATGCAAAGATGCAGGGTGTTGGCTGATTGTAGATAACACATACGAGTGAGTTTCTCATTTCCTAATTCCCATGATGTCCAAATTGAATGTTGATTTGATCTACTACTGTATAAGGGGGGTTTGAAAATCGCAGGTATTTCATCTATGACGGTTTAAAACATTCTTGCGTTGAGGGAGACCACATTGTTAATGTCTTCTCTTTCTCTAAAACCTATGGCATGATGGGTTGGAGGCTTGGATATGTGAGTGCTCGATTCATATTCTATTCAAAACCAAACTGTTGATTTTGGGATTATCTTATGAAAGGTTTGATTGACCTGCAGATAGCTTACTCAGACAGATTAGATGGGTTTGCAACAGAGCTTGTGAAAATTCAAGACAACATACCAATCTGTGCCGCCATAATCTCGCAGCGACTGGGTCTATACGCATTAGAGGAAGGTTCTGGGTGGATAACGGAACGGGTAAAGAGTCTAGTGAAGAACCGGGATATTGTGAAAGAGGCGCTTGAGCCGCTGGGGAAGGAGAACGTTAAGGGAGGAGAAGGAGCGATTTACCTGTGGGCGAAACTACCAGAGGGACACAGAGATGATTTCAAGGTGGTGCGGTGGCTGGCTCACCGCCATGGTGTGGTGGTGATCCCGGGGTGTGCAAGTGGTGGCCCCGGGTATCTCCGGGTTTCCTTTGGAGGGTTGCAGGAGGTTGAAATGAGAGCTGCAGCGGAGAGGCTAAGGAAAGGATTAGAGGAGCTGCTTCACCATGGAATGGTGGAGTGAGATGTTGTTAAAAGGGGCAAAAGATGGTTTACTTTGCGTTTATTTGAAGCTATAGTTTGTTTAAAAATGAATAAAGAGTGTTTGTTTGTTCAATAATCAATAGCTGATTCTTCTTTACAAAGTCATTGTACGTATTTGGGATACCAATGGTTGAATCCTTAATCCCTTTGGTGTATGTATATACTCTTTACTTATTCAAATCTCTCTCTCTCAATGATTGCAAAAGTTACCCTTTTGATCATCTTTATTCGTCTCCAAATTCAAAATTAAATTCGAGTTTGATGATAGACGTTATGACTTGTGAGAAATTGAGAAATTTGAAATTTTAATTTATGAACCCAGAGCAGAGAATAATAAATAAAAGTTAAATCGAAGATGATTTTAGGCTTTATTGGTTTGAAAGTGGGCCGTAGATGGGCCCGGAATCGAACCCGAAGACGAAGAGAGAGAGAGAGAGGTTGACGTGGCCTCCATCTTCTTCTACTTTGTCTTCCATCGTTGCAACTTCGCCGACGAGTCACATCTCCGAAATCCGGAGACGGAGAGAGAGAAAGAAGGGAAATTTGGGTGCTCCGAGATCGAAGCTCTTGCCTCGGAACCCTAGATTTTGTTTTGAGTAAAAGAGGAAATGGTGGGTAGTAGTAATTCGTTGGCGGGTCTACAAGATCACTTGAAATTAGCGAGAGAATACGCACTAGAAGGATCCTATGACACATCTGTCATCTTCTTCGATGGCGCCATTGCTCAGATCAACAAGTAAGTAGCTCCTCTTGTCTCTTCACTCTTGAATCTAGACTTTTTTTTTTTTTTTTTTTTTTTTTTTTTTTATCACAACCCCTTTGGCAATTTGATAGTTTCGTTTTCGATTTTATGGAAATGTGCTTAGCTCCCATCAGTGCGTGCCCCCATAAAAAAGGCTAGAATTTTGCAATGTTTCACGGTGCAATGTCTGTGTAGAGATAGAACACTCTTATGTACTGCGTTAGTGGTTCTGAAGCGATGGTATACTGTTTTAGGCATTTAAACACCCTTGACGATCCTTTGGCCCGGACTAAATGGATGAACGTTAAAAAAGCCATAATGGAAGAGACGGAAGTTGTTAAGCAATTGGATGCAGAGAGGAGAGCATTTAAAGAAGCTCCCACTGGCCGTCGCGCTGCTTCTCCGCCTATCAATACCAAATCATCCTTTGTTTTTCAGCCCTTGGATGAGTATCCAACTTCATCCGCTGCTCCTATGGATGATCCTGATGTGTGGAGGCCTCCTACCCGTGATGTTTCTAGTAGAAGACCCGCCAGGCCTGGTCAAACTGGTACCAGAAAATCACCTCAAGATGGGGCTTGGGCTCGTGGCCCTACAACACGAACAGGTCCAGCTTCCCGTGGTGGAAGAGGTGGGGCTACTAGTAAGTCAACTGCAGGTGCCCGCTCTTCCACTGCCGGTAAGAAGGGAGCTGCCTCAAAATCTACCAAGGCAGAGTCTATGGTAAGTCATATGTTTTTGCCTTTTGTTATTGCTAAACAGAGAATGTTAACTTGAAAATTCTCCATGACTCACGTATAGACTATGGCATTTCCATTTCCATTACTTTACTTTGGTGATAGACAGAATGTCGTGGAACTTCTACGTTGTTATGTTATAGTTGGACTGATGTATCAAAGATCATGATTTCTGTTGCGTTTATGAATGTCTAATTCTGAAATCTGTATTAGAAACTTTTGAGTGGTGTTCATGTTTTCCTGTGTTTATGTTAGTTTCCACCTATTTTTAACACCTAATAAAACTTCGGGCTTCCGGCTTCAGAATGGTGATGCTGAAGACGGGAAGTCAAAACGGGGATTGTATGAGGGACCTGATGAGGACCTGGCTGCTATGCTTGAAAGGGATGTGTTGGACTCAACTCCTGGTGTCCGTTGGGATGATGTTGCAGGTTTGTCTGAAGCCAAAAGGCTGCTTGAGGAGGCAGTTGTCCTTCCTTTATGGATGCCCGAATACTTTCAGGTACTTTGATTCTGTTCCATACGCTGTGAAATTTGTATTCTATATTACTATTATTAGACTTTGGAGCAATCATACAGAATAACAGTTTCAATTCATCAATTCCGTAGACTTTATATTTGATATTACAGGTATGGAGGATACTTAGTTTGATTGTTTTGTTTCCCCTCAGGGTATTCGAAGACCATGGAAAGGAGTTCTCATGTTTGGTCCTCCTGGGACAGGTAAAACCCTGTTGGCAAAAGCAGTTGCAACCGAGTGTGGTACCACCTTCTTCAACGTCTCTTCTGCTACATTAGCTTCAAAATGGCGTGGAGAGAGTGAGCGCATGGTCAGATGCCTGTTTGATCTGGCTAGGGCATATGCTCCAAGTACAATTTTTATTGATGAGATTGACTCTCTCTGCAATTCTCGGGGGTAAATTTTCCTGACTATGCTGAGATTTCAATACTGAAATGAAAAGTATGTTTAATTGGTGGAGGTATGATGCAGGGGTTCTGGAGAGCATGAATCGTCAAGAAGGGTGAAATCGGAACTCCTAGTTCAAGTAGATGGAGTGAGCAATACAGCGACAAATGAAGACGGTAGTCGCAAAATAGTAATGGTACTGGCAGCTACCAACTTCCCATGGGACATAGATGAAGCTCTCAGGTTTCAATATTCTTTGAGTTATTACCGTATTTAGACGTGCTCATGTATAGTGAAACTGCTGACCTTTGAGCTTATGTTGGTGCAGGAGGAGGCTGGAAAAACGTATATATATCCCACTTCCAGATTTTGAAAGTCGTAAGGCACTTATCAATATCAATCTGAGAACAGTTGAGGTTAGTTGTGGATACATTGTTACAAATTACAATAATTGCAAATCTCTCTGCTGGTTCAGTGTAATCAATTTAGCAATGAATGTTCTCACGTTCCAGGTGGCGAGTGATGTTAATATTGAAGATGTGGCCCGGAGAACGGAAGGGTACAGTGGAGACGATCTGACTAACGTGTGCAGGGACGCCTCAATGAACGGGATGAGGCGTAAGATAGCAGGGAAAACGAGGGATGAGATAAAGAACATGTCGAAAGACGATATATCAAATGATCCTGTGGCTATGTGTGATTTCGAAGAGGCCATTAGGAAAGTGCAACCGAGTGTGTCTTCCTCTGATATTGAGAAACACGAGAAGTGGCTCTCTGAGTTTGGATCTGCTTAATTTAAACCCACTTTTTCTTAGCGTCAAAAGATGTGTGCCTTTTCTTGTGTTTGTTGTTTATTGTATCATTATCATTATTTGCCAGTCATTTATCATATTCTTATGTTTCTTATATTCCAAACTTGTAAACCTCTACGAAAAAAGAAAAAGGATTGTATGATTTTCTTCGGTTTTTTGGGTTCAGACTTAACAGAGTAGTGGAGAGAGTTTCATAATTGCTATACACTGTCTTAGAAGAAGAAAAAACCAGCAAATTGGTCTTTGTAATTAATTCGTAACCAATGAAAACAAATTTCTGTAAAAACAATGTAACAACAACAGTGATTCGCATATCATCTATATAATATTGGCCCCTATGTCTGAATAATACTATCTGATAGTAAAAAAAATAAAAAAAAAATAGAAGAACAAGTGGTATTTTTGCAAAAGCCCCAAGATTTTTTTTGTTTTAATAGAAAAAGAAAACATAAAAGAACATTACAAAATAATTCATAAAATCTATATATATAATGGGAGAATTGTCTCTCGATAGAGTATCCACATCATCATCTAAGTTATCCTAATTTAATTTTATGTGGGCTCCACATATTTTATTTATTAAAACAAAAACATTAAAACTATGATTAATTCACACATTTTGTAATTTATATTATTATATTTTATTAAACAAAAACAATAATTTACAATATAATAACTTAAATATTAAAAATGTTAAAATAAATAACTTTATAAGACTAAATATGAAACTTTTGATTAGAGATTGGATAAACATAAAATTAGATAATTGTATCTTAACATATAATGAGTAAATATTCCTAAATGACTAGAGATATAAAAAAGAACCTTACCATATAGTTTAATGATAAAACAATCATTTTTAAGAGTTACAACTATTTAGTAGAATAAATAAAAATAAGACTTAAGAATATATTAAATTTAAAGGTTTTTACTAAAAAGAAAAAGTAATTCATTTCTGAAAAATAAACATTAAAAAAATTTTAAAATAATTTTTAATGTTAAATTATCAATTCATGATACTGATTAAAAATAAGAAGGACTGAGTACATATTATTATTTATAATTATAATATAATATAAATAGTTACATTAATAAAAATTTCTATATTATCAGGGTTTTCTAAATTAAAATGTGGTGGTTTTTTTTTTTAAATCAAATGAATACCTAAAAAACAAAAACTAAATATTAATCAATGTTTATGAAATTTTCACCTAGATAAAAAAATTTAAGACAATTTGAAATAAAATAAAAACTATTCGAAACATCACAAATAAAACTAAAATAATCCAATCGAATAAGAAACTGTGTAATAATAATATTTGCGAATGCTATTTGGAAATTAGAATAGTAATGGTATATTGAAAAGTTTTTAATTAGAAATAATAATTAAGGATTAAAAATATATTTTAAAATCAGAATGATTTATATGATTCGTAAGTTACGTTACGAAAATCAATATTAAGAATATTATACAGAATCATAATATATGTCAAATTATTTATGTGAATTTATTTTTTGTATTTTTCAAATGGTCAAGATAAAATACAAAATTTGATGTTGAAATCTGATGTTTGTGAATATGAATGAGTCCATGTATGAGATTTGTAGTTTATAAAGCAATTTTACATGCACCAAACATGGTCAAAGAAAGTATATGACAAATATCTCCCGAGATTTTTTAATGTTCACTTTAATAAAAAGATCATGCAACTTATAAAAAATATGAGTATTGAAAGATATGAACGAAAAAATAAAAATGATATATTTTGAGAACTAATTCATAGTCGAGTATATTATATGTGAGCCAATATAAGATGAAAAAAATATAAGGTGAAAAGAAAGTAGATGTCGGAGACGACGAGTGAATCATAGAAGATAACAAGAAAAATTGAAGTAAAAAGTGTGAAAAATATTTATTATTAAGAAAAATTGAAGTAAAAAGTGTGAAAAATATTTATTATTATGGAAATATAATGAAAATGAGTAAAGTAAAATGTTCTAAAATTCAAATTATTCAGAAATT